AATGCACATCGTCGTTCGAGAAGAGTAGATCAAATCTGACATCATGTAACAACCGAGTGTGTGGAGCAGGAAGACATGTAAGACTCGATCAAATGCGTTTGGGAAGTCGGAATTACGGCGTGCGAAATGATCCATTGTCTTTGGCTAGTTTCAACCTGTGGAAAATTGGAGCATGTTCATCACACATCCAAGGGTCTGTAGAAATCCGTTTGTCTGTAGATGTCAAGTTGTTCGAACGGGGTGACATAATTGATCCGTTGCAGAATGCATTAACTTACATTGCACAGCAAGCTGGGGAGGCCTGTAGGGCTGTAGCTGCAAGGCGATGGTCTCGGTTTTGTAGATTGGCGTAGTAATCACTTTAATCTTAGCAGAGGGAAGGGAGCCTTCGTCAAGCGACTGAAAAAACACCAGGTAGGAATAACCTGCTACTGTGGTAAACATTTCAGGATGCATGGATGGACCCTGTCGCGCCTTACGAGCATAATGGGTTGACCTTGTGAAAGAGTTAACGAGCGTCTTCCACCGTTAGGACCATGTCGCTCAGGGGCCATTCCTGGTCACGCCTTGGCAAGAGCGGATGTGACAAGAAGACTAGGGCTGGATAGAGACCTTCATAATGTTCTGTGGGGACTTCGGATACCACCGTTAGGCCACTGGTTGCTTTCCCGTTATCTTGCCTTAATGAGAAAAGGATGCCTTGTTTCGGTGGAGGTGTATCATATATTCTATCAACACATTTCTCTTTCTGGGAACGAGTTCCATAATATTGGCTTGTCTGTAGGTTCCGTGGAGGATTGCCGATTTACAGCGATTCCGTATTTCACAGAATGTCACCTCATCTTCTTTATCTCCCGTAGTAAACTTTTGGAAAAAAGTGAGACAACTTTTTCCAAATATCACCTTTAGAATCCCTTTAGGTGTCATGTGGCTTGGTTGACCACGGGTTGGGTTTTCAGCTCCATGAACTTTTTGGACAATGGTTTTATAAAAGTCCTTCACTGATGCTGGTCTCATTTACACTCATTAAAGAAGGATGTGCATGCCTAGAAATTTTGCACTGCAAAGTTTTTCAACGCAGATTCCAAATTCATGATTGTTGAAATACTTCGGTCCGCGACGGCGTAGAAAGGAGACTTGATCTGACGCGTCTGTAGTTCGTCCCGGTCGCCTTTGGAACATGGCCACCAGCAGGAAATGAATGAAATAGTAGCTGAAGTTTTGTATTACCAATCGGACCTGTTGAGCCGGACACGTGGAGCAATGGTGGACTATCCCGACAGGAACAAAATAGGACCGGCGCAGCGAAAATGGGATGCACAGCGCATCAAAATAAGATTCAAGAGTGGTGCCAGAGAGAAAATGTGGACGGGCAGGGCAGCACATAACTATAAATCGGTCACGCTCTTGACGGAGTGGAGCCCAGAGGTACTTTAGGCGTTGCGTATGCGTGAGAATTGGCTACACCAGAACATCTCTGCCTCTGGTGGTCGGGGGTTTTGCAGTAGTTGAATGGGATCTGCTGTCTCGAGTAGCTGCAAGTCGCAACTGCTTGCTTCCAAGAGCGCAAAGAGGTGAGACTATAGCCGGTTTGATCATAAGCTTGAGGTCATGTAGACTGGCTGGTATTAAGC